ACCCTCCCCGTCCACCGCGGCCGCCGCCACCGCCGCCGCGCCGAGCAGCAGCAGCGGCGGCAATTGCACCCACGCGGGGCCGCCCGGCCTGCTCCCGTCGCCCTCGGGCGCCTTCGTCGTCGTCGTCGTCGTCCGTGTCGGCAGGAGCCTCCGTCGTCGTCGTCGTCGTCGTGGTCTCGGCATCAGGATCAGGAACTGAAGCAGTTGCACTTTGACCCTCTGCCGCGGCAAACGCGCAGGCGCAGCAGAGGGCGAGGAGAAGCACGCAGAGGAAAAAGCGGCGCAGCATCATTGTCGCTTGGGCCTTCGTGGGGGTCGCTTGTTGCTCGCGGTCTGGACGCTCCTGCCGGCCGGCACCGGGCGGGCGCGGCGAGAAGATTAAAGAAGAAGAAAAGAGAAGGTGAATTGTAATAAATGGTGCCGTGCGTGCATATTGTAGCAGGGGCATAATTTATGTTGTTGTTTTTTTCCTCCTTCTTCGTTTCTCGATTTGGTAATGATCCGTGCTTTTTTTTCTTCTTTTCGTGCACCGCAGTGCTTGTCGGTTGCTGTCGTGTACATGCCTCTCCCCAGTTTCCCTTGGCGCTGCGTTGCCACTCAGCTTCTTTCCACACACCCACACAGACACACAGACACACAGGGACACATAGGTGACTGTTGCCTGGGAGAATTTTGAGCCGTTCCTTCAGCTCTTTTTGGGCTTCTTCTTTTTGGTGTCGATGTCGGTGAAGACGCGCTCGTCCAGGGCTTCCTGCAGGCGGATGTGCTCCCCACGTGGCCCTCGCCAGAGAACGTCGTAGTTGGTGATGGGGGGCGCTGGTGTTTTGAAGAGACCCGTAGCCGCGGCGGGGAGCAGCACCGCGCTGTCCACCGGAGCGCTTTCGCTGTGGGAATTGGCGGTCTCCGTCAAGGTGGCCCTTTGGCGCTCAGCGTCGCATGGCGGGGCGGTCGTCGTCGTCGTCGTCGTCGTGGCGGTGGTGGCCTCCCCGGCTTGTGGAAGCAGCAGCGTGGTGAGGTAGTGGCTGAAGTTCCTGCGCCACGCGGCGGTGCCGGCCCCGCCCAGGGCGAGGCCGTTGTTGTACAGCAGGAGGGTGGCTGGGTCCACGCTGGGGGCGCTGCCCTGCGCGGGGGCCGCCGTCCAGCTGCCGGCGGCGTTGCTGCAGATGCTTCCACGGCTGGCAGGCGCCGCGACGATGGGGGCGGCCGCGACGACTTGGGCGCGGTGGAGCGTGGCGATTTGCTGCGGCGTCGCCACGGCGTCGCTGGCGCGCGTCCTCCGAGTCGCCGCCGATGCGGCTCTGTTCCCCGCCGAGGTCGGGGCGGCGAGACCGAGGGCGACGGCCGTGCCTGTCCGCTCGCGCGCCGCCGCGGCCGTCGTCGTCGCTGGCGGCAGCGGCGGGTGGTGGTACGGGTGGTGGCGGCAGCCGAGCAGCACGTAGGAGCTCTGCAGCGCCGGGGAGGGCGCGGTGGGCCCGCCGCCGCACGCTGCCGCCGCCGCCGCGCTCGCCGAGGCGCCCCCCGCGGAGGGGGAGGGGGAAACCGCCGGCGTCGACGGGGGCAGCGCGGCGGCGGTCGCACCGCCCAGCACGGCGTCGGCGTAACTCTCCACCGCGCGGGTCGCGAGCCCAACGAACGGGATCGCGCCGGTGAAGGGCGGCGACTTGAGGGCGCTCGCTGACGGGGCCGCGGCGGCGTCGTTGCCGGCCTCGTGCGGCGGCTGCCCGCCCCGCGCAGACGCGCCGAGGCCGGCGGGCGGGCGGAACTGCTCCAGCACAAAGTTGATGGGCAGGAGCTCCAGCCGCGTGTAGCCGGCGGTGTGCGGCGCGAGCAACTCGAGCATGCGGTCCACCAGCGCGCCGACGCTGCACTCGGCGTTGAACATCATCGCCTCGTTGTTGCCGTAGTGCACCGTGAAGTACGCCATCGGCCGCGCCGCCTCCTCCGCCGCGCCCCACGCCTCTCCCGAACTTCTCTCCACGCGGGTGTCCAGCTGCCGCCTGCCGTCGGTGGACGCCGCGGGCGCTTTCTTCGTCGTGTCGCCGCTAACTGCGTGGCCGCGGCAGCGATAAAAGTGGAGGAAGCAGCGGAAGCCGCACACACACAGAGAGAAACACACACAGACGCGAAGGGAGAAAAACACGGTGGGGGGTGGTCACCGCAAATATGGCACTCACAATAATGATACTACTCACAATAATAAAAGCCGCCGTAACCACCACCGGGGAGTTACCGGAACTCGAGCCACGCCGAGAGGGCGGTCGGCGCGTATGCACATCGAGACGCCCGCCACGCGGCACCCCACCCGCCTGTGGAGGTGGAGAGCGCGAGAGCAACGGCCGCGCGGGGGAGGCACGCGCCGAGGGAAGTTACGTGCGGCTGCGCCGAATGCGTGCACCTCGCTGCCCCACCCCCCTCCCTCCCCCTCCCGCCTGTTGCCTGCAGGGCATCACGCGCCCGCCCACGCGACGCCTACGCCGCCTCGTATACGATAAACTCCAAGACGATCCCCACCGAACTCACCAGGGCGTTCAGTGAGAAGAGGGACTTCAAAAAGGGGATGGCCAGCAGGGTGACAAAGACGCTGCCGAGCAGCATCGCCGCAAAGACGACGCCGAAGGAGGTCGTCAGCAGCTCCTCCACGAACCCAATCAGGTCCCCGCGCCGCAGCGAAGTGTGCTGCCTCAGCAGCTTGCAGCCAATGACGCAGTAGCCCACCATGGCGAGGGAGAGCAGGATCGTGAGGTTCTCCACGACGATGCCGCGCCAGCCATTCTGCAGGACGAAGCTCAGCCACTGGCCGGTGCAGAAGGGCACCACAACGTACAGCCGCTCTCCGATGGCGTGGGTGGGGTAGTAGCGGTCCTCGTCGATGTCCTTCAGCTTGCAGAGGATGCCACCAAGGATGCCCTGCAGCATGGCGACGGCGATCCACAGCAGACTGGGGCTGCCGTGGGCGCCGCCGCTGCCGACGACGCCGCCGCCGCCCGTGCGCGCGAGCACCCCTCCCTCCGCGGCCGCAGCCGCCCACGAGGCCAAGGCGGACTGGCCGCTCTGCGGGACGGCGACGGTGTCGGGAAACATGGCCGCCCACGCCTCTTCCCGCAGCACGCCAAAGAGCCACGCGGTGATCATTAGGTACTCCCCGCACTGCGTGCACACCGCGACGTAGTACGTGGCGGCGATGCTGGCGAGACTGAAGGCCAGCACGCACGGCAACGAGGCGGCCGTGGCCGCGGGGGCGGTGGCGGCGACGTACATGGACGCCAGCGAGTGCGGCAGCCACAGCAAGACAGCCGCCGCCCGCAGCGTGAGGTACATGCGTCGCGCGTTCGGCGTCAGGCACTCGCGGTGGCGCGGCGTGCCCCCCACACCCCCAGCCTCCGGGGATTTCTTTTCCCTCGCGTCGCCCAACGTCATCCCGGCGAGGCGACTGCCAATCCTCCTGTCTTTCCTACTGTCTTACTGTTTTCTCGCGCGCGCGCGCTTTCGCCCGTGCGCCTGGCGCCTCCAGGAAAGGCGCCCACGCAGAAGCGAGGGGAGGGGGAAACGAAGAAGCAGACGAAGTCCGCCGCGACCGAGAGAAGGAAGAAATGCCGGGGCGCACACGCCTCCAAACGGGAAAGCCACAGGCACAGAGAGAGGTGTGTATATATATATATATATACAAACATACATGTAGTTGCAAATTCAGGCACTCGAATAGGCAGACAGGGAGGGAGGGAGGTGGGGGATGGCTTGCACACGTGGAAGTCGTCCACTCGTGCACGGCATCACGGGAAAAAGGTCCACACGCACACACATCCACAAACGCAAGGCGTCTTTCTACCCCCTTTCCGTTAACGCAAACGCGTCAGCAAGAAACGACAAGTGGCGAACAGTGAAGTAACACACGAGACCGTGGGAGCATGCGGGAAGGAAGAGAATAAGCCCTGGCACGCACGCGCACACGTGTGTGTGTGGCGCATGCACGCCGTCAGTGCAGGGGCGGGTGGGCGTGGACGGTGCAGCCGCGGGCAGTCTTGTGCATTTCCGTCAGCATCGCCTCCGCGGGGGCGCAGGAGTCCGCGTGCCACGCCTCCGCCTCTACTGCCGCGCCGGCGGTGTCGCGCTCCATCGCATGCAACGCGGCAGTGACACCCTCCCACGGCAGGCAAGGGCACGCAGGCGAGAGAGAGAAGAGAAAAAAGAGAAAAGAGACGGCGCAGCTCCGCGGCCCACAGCGGCGCACGGCACATCCCACGCAGGGGTGTCGTCATACATGCACACCGCACGGATATTTATTAGTATGCGGCCGCCCGCAACGCTGCGCACGCACGCACGCACGTAGAGGTAGATATACATCATAGATAGTTCGATGGAAGGGCATGTGTGTGTGTGTGCGTTCACGTGTGCCGGCAATGCAACTAAACCCCCGTCTGCGTTTGTGCCCCTTTCTCTTTATCCTCCTCTCTCTGCGTGCGTGTGCCTCGTGCCGGCCACTTCGCCTCGGCGGCCGCCGAGGGGCCACACGCGTGCGCGCGTGCAGAGAAAGAAAAAAAAAAGAGAGAGAAGAGAGAGTGGCGGCAAACGCAGCGAGTTTCAAACACGAAAACAAAAGCAAGAAAGAACACACAATGAAAAAGCGGCACACACGCCAAGGGAGGAAGTGTGTGCGTGAGAATGAATGAAAGAAGGAAAATGTGCGCCCGCACACGTGCAACGAGGAGGAGGAGGAGGAAGGAGAAAAAGAAGCAAAGAAACAAAAAACAAAACAAAAAAAGCTCTTCGTCATTCTTTCCTTTCCCTGCACTTCGCTCAATCCCCATCTTCATCCCCACCTCCTCGTTGCACGCATTTACATTTATACATGTGCGTGTGTGTGTGTGTGGCTGTGTGTCGCGTTTGCGCTGCTTCCTTGCGGTTGATTTGTGTGGCGCGTCGCAGCGCCTCCCCCCCGTTCTCCGCGCGACAGTTCCTCAGCCCCCATGCAACTCCCCAGATGGCTGGGCCCACACACAGACACACACAGAGAGAAAGATGCACATGCACGGATGTGGGCACACGCGCACAGCAGGGCATACCCCCACCGCTGGGAACGCCGTCTACCCCCTCCTTCCCTCTCGCGCTCGCTCTTTCCCCGCCCTCTCCCCATTTATGTATCGCTCCTTCTCGCCCCGTTTGTGCAGTCCGCCGTGGACGGTGTTTCCGCCTCGTTGGTTTTCGTTTCTCTCGCCTCCCGTTCGGCGTGTGCACGCGGGAGGGGGAGGAGCGGGACTTCCCTTTTCCAGCGTATTACATCCCAGGTCTATGTACATCTATCGCCCCCTCCCCCAGACTCCGTGCACGTGTGTGTGCGTCACAAATAGGCCTGCACGCTGAGTTAAAGACCGGCCAAAGACGCCGCTCCTCACTGCTTGCTTCCTTCTTCGTTTCAGCCTGTTTGTTTTTTTTTTTTTGGAGGGGGGGACAAAAAGAGAGGGCGGCAAACACGCCTCAGCCTCAGCCGGCGCGCCAAAAGAAGAGGCGGGCCACGTCCTTCTCGTTGTCGGACTCGTGGGAGTTCGTGGTGCGCAGCGTCCAGCCCTCCGCGTGGAGCGCGTTGATGACCTCCGAGAAGACGACGCAGCGGCCGCGCTGGTCGCAGTAGTGCTGCCCAATCGACATGCGCCACGTGTTAGGCTGGTTGTTGAGAAGCACGAACTTCGGCGCCCCGCCGTTGGCGACGCTCAGGCTGTTTTGGCTGGTCGTCATGCAGCGCGGGAGGGCCTTCTCGAGGGTGTCGAGGGTTTCCTGCCGCAGCGGCGCCCCGACGATGGAGAGCACTGGGGGGTTGAACTTGCAGTTCACGACGACGCTGGGCATCTCTGGATTTTCAGCTGCTGTTTTTCCTTGTTTGTTTGCTTGTTTGTTTGACCGTTGGCGCTGTTGGCGCTTTTGGGGCTTCTCCTTCCTTCCTTCCGTGTTGTGCGTGTGCGTGTGCGCGCGCCGTGGAAGACGCGGGGGAAGTCCACAGAGAGAGAGAGAGATGCGGGATGCGAGACGCAAGAGAAAAAGGACGGAAGGAGTGGCTTGGGTGGGTGCATTCACACACTCGCAGGGAGACGCCTGCGCGCGGCGGGCCATTCCTTCGCTCACTCCGCCTTTACTTCGTTCTTTGTTGCGGCGGCACATTAATGCGGCTGTTTCGGGCGGCGGTGGGTGGGAGGGCCGCAGGAGGGCGGACGCCTCATCCCCTCCCTCTTCTCTCGGCTCTTTTTTTTCCCCCAACGCGGCCACACGCGGGGCGCACGCGCCTGCGCAATGAAAAACCTCGCGCGACGCCACTCATCCCCCCCCCCGCCCCCGCAACTTCTGCCGTCGCCCGTCTACTTCCCGCCTCCCTCTGCCTCTCTGTCTGCCTGTGTGTATATGTGGCGGTAGGGCCCACGCATGTGCCTCTTGCTTCATTCCCCTCCCCCTCTCTTTCTTTTTATTTATTCTTTTTTTTTACTTTCTGTTTTTGTTCCGTTCTTCCTTCGCCCGCTCCTTTTCTTCTCCTTCTTTCCCCCTCCGTCCTCTTCCCTCTGCTTCTCCGCTCGTCCTTCCCCCCTCCGCCTCGCCCAGCGCGGAGGAAGTGCAAACAACAAAAAAAAAGCAAAGAGGGAAGGAGGGAAAACGGCAAAAAGCAAATATATAAATATACCGGGTCGAGAGGCGTCCAGTACGGCCACGCCACTCATCCCCCCTCCCCTCCGACGGGCACTCGGCAGAAACGGTCGTAGAGGCCGCGGGCGCGGCGGAGCAGACGGCCCCACTCCCGCGGTGACGTCAACTCCTGCCAGACGGACCCTGCCGGCGGCGGCGGCGGCGGTGCTGCGAGGGGGGACGGCACGGGCGCGGGTGCCGGGGCGTCGCCGTGGGGGCGGGGCAGAGAACGCAGGCGGACGCGCGCCGTCACGTACGCCCGCACCGCCTCATTGCTGGCCGCCGCGTCGAGGTTGGCGGCCGGCGGTGTCGCGGGGGTGGCGGCGGGGGAGAGGGCCGCCAACGTGTCCGGCTGCAGCGACACAAATCCCTCGCCGAGGCCACGCAGTGGGTTGCCGGCGACCACCGCCGCCGCCGCCGCCGCCTCCGTGTCGTCCACGAAGCCGGGCACGTCGCGGGGGCGCTTGCGCCGCGCTGACGCAAACGCCGTAGTGCGTGGCAGTCGCCCCCCGTAAAACCCCGCGCCCCCGCCACTACGCCCCTCCGCGGCGCCGCCGAGGCCACTGCTGCCGCCACCAGCACTGCCGGCCCCACCCACGCCGCTCAGGTCGCCTCTACTCCCCGTGGTGGGGTGGCCGTCGTCGAGGGGCGCGTCATCGCCGCCGGCACGGAAGAGCGGCGCGAGGAGGTGGGTGGCAAACGGCAGTGTGGCGACGACGTAGTCGCCAACGGATCGCATGCGGGGGATATACGCCGCCCCTGCGGCCCGCTCGCCAGACGCCAACGGAGCACCCTCGTCACCCACGCCGCTGCCTCCACCGCCGCCCGCCACCGGGGAGGCTGCGGTGGCTGCGTCGCCGCGGCGGCCATCGACGCGCTCCACGCGCTGCCGCAGCGGCGCAGGAAGGTACGCCTCCCCGTAGGAGACGCCCGCATCGGCCGCCGCATCAGAACCCCGGTGGAACATGTGACTCAGCACCAGTGAGGGGAGCCGTGCGACAAGGGAGAAAAGCGGAGCGTCCGACGACTCGTAGCGGGTGCTGTAGTACTGCTGCTGCAGGGTGTTGGAGCGGCCAAGCGCATCCGCGGTGCAGCCGGCGGGGTTTGCGGAGGTGGCAGCTGCGGGCGCCGTCGACGCTGTGGGGGCCGTCGGTTCTGTCGCAAAGTCAAATCGCCGCGGCTGCGGAACCGCCGCGGTGGGGCGAAAGCCGAGGTGCGTGTGGTGCCTGCCGCCACTCGCGTGATCGCGGCGGAGGAGGAACCCCACGCCGCCGGCGCCGCCCTCCTCGCCGCCACGCCCCGCGGAAGGTGGGGCCGCTGTCAGCAAGAGCGCCTCGCCACGCCCCACCGCGGCGGCGGCGGCCTGCCAGTCCACCGTCGCCCCACCGACCGTCGGGGAAAAGAGCAGCAGCCAGAGCCGCTCATGCTGCGGGGCCACGGCGGCGGCGGCAAGCGCGGCAGCGGCGGCGGAGACAGACATGGATTCATAAAGGCTCGCGAGGTGCTGGAAGCGCGCCGCGCCCTCCACCAGGAAACGCTTCTGGAACACCTGGGCGGTGTTGTCAAGGCGCCTCGCCATGCAGGCACTGTCGGCGCGGTAGAAGGCCACACAAATCACAGCACCCGCCCCGCCACGCACCCCCGCCCCCCACGACGAAGCCGCGGCGGAGGCGGTGTCGCTCTGACGCGTGAGGTCGGCGGTGCGGAAGGCGCCGGCAACAGGGCCGCACTTCTCCTGCAGCAGCTGCAGCAGCGCGCGGCACTCCTCAACGGTGTGAAGCCCAAAGACAAAGACGGTGCGGTGCACCAAATCCGTGCGGAAAGCCGGCTGATCATGCAGCGGAAGCACGTTGTGCTGCGCCGTCGACGACGACGACGACGACGACGCGGGCGCCAGTGCCGTTGACACCGACGATGCTGCGGCTGCGGCCGTCGCCGTTCGCGGCTTCATCGCGGCGGCGGGCGGCAGCAGCAGCCCCCTCCCGCGGCCTCGGGCCTCCAACGCCGGCGAAGGCGACCCAGCCACCTCCCGCGCGTCTTGCTGTGGCGGCGGCCGCCTGCTTTGCTGCCGTGGGAGGGACGCCCCACTGCCATGCTGCCGCTGCGGCGAGGTCAGAGGCGTTGTGCGTGCCGAGCCCCGCCACGCTGGCGTCGCCGTCGCCGCCCTCGTGACGACGGGGGACCCCATTCACCGGCAACCCCGCAGTCGTGCCACGGAACTCGCGTTAGAGCAAAACCTCACGGCGGCGAGGAGGAGGAGGAGAAGGAAAAAGAAAAGGAGGAAGAAACAGTGGGGAGAGGGAAGCAGAAGGCGGAAAAGAAACAGAAACAAGAGGGCGGGAGGACGCCTGCCACGCGCACGCTGCAGGTGTGCAGAGTGGGTGGCCGCCCACCGAGCCGCAGGCGTGAAACGACAAGAGGAACAGCAAGCTAGTTGCACACAGAGATGGAAATAGAAAGTGCGCGTGCAGGCTTGTATGTGTGAGACAACGAGATACATTACAGTTCACATGCGTAAATTTTACGAGGCAGGGGGGGGAATGAATCCGCAAAAACAAAAGCAAAAAATGAAAATAAGAATCAGAGTGAGGAAACAAACAGACAAACAAACTCATACGCACACACGCACAGATATATATATATACAAGCTG